AACAGTTTTCGTCCTGAAGACTAAGACTTAATCTAAGATGGCTGTCAAAAGCAACACTGCTCACACTGGAGAAATTTACTCTCTGCATTTAACCCATCCCCTTAAGGAGCAGGGGGCTGCCAGTCTCTGGGAGTGGGGCTTGAACTCAGAACCTCTGGAACCAAAGCGCAATGCCATAACCAGGAGGTCTTCAACAGGGGGTCAGTGACCACTAGGGGGTCATTTGGAGGTACTGCATGGGGGTCATGAAAGTTCTGGTTGATTAGACTTTTTTTTATATTCCCCCTGCAATTTTTTCCACTAACTGAAATGTCTTTAAATACACATTACCATGAATTCAACAGACTGTAGTAAACAGATAAATGGAGGCAGAAGATGTCTTTCAGTCATCAATGCACACATTCAGCGACACACAGGAGCTCTTTCAAGCTGGCCACCGTTTCATTCACAACACCTGTCCCATCAACCAGGAATCAGAATCAGAAATACTTTAATAATCCCAGGCCTTGGCCTGGAAAACATTGAAGACCCCTGATGTAACCACTAGACCACCACCGCCCCCTACTACATCCACGATAATCCGCTAAGCTCGGCTCCAAACTCTCAGAGTCAGAGGAGAGGATGTATGAGAGGTCCAGTCAGAACCAGGCAAACCACAGCAGGAAAGAAAAATGGAGTTGCTCCATATATTTATATGTACTTTATATATTTGACTGTGAAGGATTTGTGTGAATGGTGAACTTTGGAGTAGTGAATGAGGAACTCTTTCATTAATCAACATAAAAACGAAGTTGGTCCGTCGAGCGAACGTCCTCCATGTTCAAGCTAACATGGAGGATGTGGAACCTGTGGGTTATAGCAGATTATGTGATGTAGATGTGTCTTTATTATTTGTTTTTTTTAAATAAATATAGAAACAGTTGAAAACATAGTAAATTATATTTCTGCCATAATAGAGATAACAATTCTAGATCTAAGCACCAGATTACACCCGTCTATATCAAACATATCCAATCGCTGAAGATCAACGACAATGCCATACGGGGAGTTTTAAATGTCATTAAGAGTCAGAGGCCAAGGAGCTAATGGCTTCCAATGGAAACATATTCTTCACAAAAAATTGAGTCAAAAAAAATTTGTAAAAAAAAAAAAAAAATGCAGTTACAAAAATATGTTATCTGTGATATCTCAAGCTTTAAGCCACATGTCAAGCTGTTTTACATCTGCCAGCAGAGCATCTTTACTATGATAAGTCAGTCTTTAGAGAGGTTTTCTTCCCTGTCATAGTCTTTTTCACCCTTAAATTACTTGTAGGTATGTTGATTTGAAATCTGTCCCAAGAGCATTTTTAGCATTGCACTTGTAAATTCCAGAGTTTGTCAGCACAGGATTCGGTATGACCAGACTTCCCCCGTCGGTCATGCGAATTCCTCCCTGTACCGTGTACCGAATGTGAGGTACCAGCGTGGTGCGACCAGGCAACGTCCATGAAATATCTGGCTTTGGAATACCCGTCGCAGCACAGCGTAGCATTACCGGGGTTCCTCGAATGACTCTTGTGATGGAAGCCATTGTGCTTGTGATCCTCGGAGGGAAAACCATTACAATGACTGGGTAAGATAGCGTTGACGATCCAAAAGAGTTTGAGGCTTTGCAAATATATGTTCCCTTATCAAAAGGTGCAATCTGCCTGATGTGAAGGGTTCCATTGGTGAGGAAAGATATTCTGCCGGTAGTTTGAGGTTTGTCCAGAACCACACCATTGGGTAGGGTCCACGTAATCACTGCCTGCGGCCAGCTATCAACAGTGCAGGGAAGTTTCAGGCTATGGCCATAGGTAATCTTTATTCCACCTGGAGAAATAAAATAAAATGAGATTTAGATTAAAATTTGCAAAGATAGGTTAAGCCAATTAGACCTGGTTGCTATTTTCAATTTCAGTCCCCAAAATCCACTGTCCTGCAACGTTTTGGATTGTTCTATGGTCCAACTAACCTGGAAATAGCCAGATTGATATGTGTAGAACTGAGTCTAGTTTTACATCATCAATCTTGGATGGCTTCCGTTTAGTCTGTCCTTGACAAGTAGGGATTTTTAGTACAATTCTTTGAGCTGATTGTGTGATGTGCAGGCTAGTAAGCAGCCTTCCATAATACGCTTTTAGCCAATTGCAGCAGCCTGATTTGTCTGCAGTTTTTTGTGTTTTCACAACATGGGAGAAAGCTGATAAATCAAACTTTTTCCAAATCCTGTGTGAAGAAAATCACAGACATCTTTCCTATCTACAAACGCACAAAGTGCTACTCTAAGCAAATTTAAAAAAAAGGAAATTGTCGCTATTATGGCCAAAATCGAGTCAAGGCTTTTTAGACTGTCGTCATTCCTACATGTCCCGCCCCATAAAACAATGCTGGCCTTTCATTGTTCCGAATGGATGGTGGTTACGAGACGGATGTATTAGCGGAGCAGAAGTCTTTCAAGGTGGATTTGTTGTGAGATTGGAAATTCATATCTCGCAACAATCTGGGTGCCGTGCTCTGCCCACCACTTTTGCTTTGCCAAGGGAGGCTTGTCAGGAAGAAAAATCTTCCTTTATCATGAAATACTGCTTTATTATACCTCTTCAACATGTCAACAAACTGAGTAGGGACCTGGCAAGGAGCAATTAGATCTATATAAATGTGCTAGAAGGGGGATCAATTTAAGGGTTGCAAAGGTTGGAGTTGGAGAGTTGTTGTGATTTAATGACAGGAATTTTAGAGAAGCTAAACATTTTGTGCCAGTAATACTTCAGATTCAAGTGTGCTACCTTTGTGTTAGAGCTAACATGTCTTTCTATGGGTCATCATAACATATTAGGTACAGAATACTTTATTACTTATGAAATTAAAATCATAAAAGTTTATGTCTTGAGAAGCAACATCATACCTGTGGTTCCTCTGATCACAGGTTTCCAGCCGGCCTCCAGGGAGTAACGTTTCTCCACTTGTCCCGCTACATTCCTTGCTAGGCAGCGGTAAATTCCTTTATCAGTGGGCACCGGCTGAGAAATTCGTAGAGTCCCATTTTCAAAATGGTGCGTAAAGCGGTGAAGTCTCTTCCCAGGTGACAACACCGTCCCATTAGGTAGCAACCAAGAGATCTCCGGGATCGGAGTGCCACGAGCAGGGCACACCAGGATCAGTTCGCCACCATCTTGCTTAATTGGTAATATCTCAATGTTAGGATTAGCAAAGCTAGGTTTCTCAGCAAGTGAGGCCACCTCTAATTCAACTGAAAGGGACGCTTCACCAAGGTGATTTTTAGCAAAACAGTTGTACCTGCCAGCATCCGTCTTCCTTACCCCCCTCAGCTCTAGGCTTCCATTTCGGTGGACTTGGAAGCGACCTCCTAGGTAGGGTGTTGTTAGTGCGTGACCATAGGGAGTGAGCCACCAGACCCTGGGTTCAGGTTTTCCTTCGGCTTTGCAATCTAAAAGTGCTGTTTGATAAGAAACAGCCAATAACTTTGCAGTCAGCTTCCCTCTAACACCATTGATAAAGGGTTCCTGGAGTTCAGCTTCGACTATCATGTTTTTAATGTCGTCACCAGCAGAATTACGTGCCACACAGGCATATTTCCCTTCATCCGCCAGAGTCATTTTCTTTAAAATTAAAGTTCCATCATCTATAACCCTGTATTTGTCTGACAGCTGTGGTATCACATCCGTTTTAGGTGAGATCCATGTGATTTTTGGTTTAGGTTCACCTGTTGCCTGACAGCTCAATGTAGCCGACTCTCCCAGTTTAACCTTCACCAATGATTGTGATTTCAATCCAATTTGTGGAGCATTTGGTCCCACTTTGACACTGAGTCTTCTTTCGTCTTTGCCCAGTTTGTTCGTTGCGTGGCACGTGTAGTCACCCTCATCTTTTCTGCCCATCTGACGAAGAAGTAAAGTTCCATTCTCATACATCACAAAACGTCGATTGCGAAGGCCGCTGTCATCAGATTGAAGCGCATTGTTTATTAATGTTCCATCTGGAAGACTCCAAGAAACCTCTGGGTTGGGTAGGCCAGTAGCAACACAGTCCACCTTGATCAATAACAATGAAAGAAGAAGAGGTATTCGTATATAGGGATTCCTAGATAGTGTCATCCACCTTTAAAGTCGTAGGGAAATCATATTTAAATGTCAAAATATTCTGGCTTAAACATGTATATAAATGCACTCTTTATCAGATGATATTGTCCCAAAATGAACAAAATTTCTATTTAAAAAAAATCCTGTCTTAAAATCAGTGTTTTTTTTCGTAATCTTATGCAGGCCAGTTAGTTATACGTCAGCCTGAACACCTAAATTCGGCAAATCATATATCAACTGTCATCTGTCAATCAAATGTTTTCGGTCATAGCATCTTGATTCATATTGGCGCAGTTAATATACACAACGGTTGAAATAAGAAATAAGAATAATTTCTTCTTTATTACTTTCCCATTGAGTTCCGTCCCAGTGTTCACGGGGATGGACGTCTGTCTTCGGCAGGCGTAGAGCTAACAGAACTGGCAGGGTTGCGAAGCACAGACTCAAACATGTAGGGCTGTAAGCCTTCTACACCATACGAAGCTTCTGCCACCCTGGCGTCCTCTTCCACAACAACTTATTCCATCTATCCTTCTCAAAATAAAAAATGTATGACGGAGGAGACTCATCGACAACCTCTAACACAAAACTGCACCTCTGAAATGTTTCTGCTGTCCATAGCGTTCCTTGACAGTGCCGTTTCTAAGTCACCAATTTAGTGCTACTTGGTCCTAATGGAATTTCCCATTGGGAACCTACTAGCACTAAGTTGCTAACTGGTTAGCAAGATGCTTCCGACAAACTGGCCCCAATCAATCTTGCTTGTGAGTGTTTCGCCACAAAACCCCCGCCCTCTTGATAAACGACCAATCACATTCACTTTATTTACCCGTGTAAAGTCGTGTACCACTCGCAAAGATTCCGAACTGAAAAGGTTGGAACGGCTGTTTCCCTACGACTTTAATGCTGTTTGTATGATATGGAGTATGGGTCAACAATCAGCCCTAAAACTATGGATAACTGTTGTTGCAATAATGATCAACTGAAACAGTGCAACTGACAACTGAATGTGAGTATTTAGTCTTTTATTTGAAATGAGTAGTTACCTGGAAATTTTCTCCAAACGTCACTCTGGACTGTGAGGTCCTTACATGCTCAATTCGAGGGGGAGTCATCAACACTTTTACCTGGTTTAGACACAAATCAAGTAGGGAAAACTTTTATTACTGTTTTCAAACCATTTTTAACAATTCTTAGCAAACACTGATTCATTTACATACTAGATGTACAGCTGTCAAGTTTGCAATTTTGAGTCATCAACACTAACTTTAATCTGCAAAGTCATTCCATAAATGTAAAAAAATAATGTACTGTTTCCAAGTTTGAAGACGTTTCCCTTCCCATCCAGGAAGCTTTTTTAATTCAAATTGTCAGAAATAGATTTGAGGTCGAGGCTTTTTATAGTAGCTAAACTAAGCCTTGTTTTGGCTAAGAAACACGCAAATTGAACCGGACGAACGGGTCCGCCCCTTAGGAATGGGGGTTGTTTGGCTTCTTTGTTAGCCTGCAATGTCCCATACATGCCTATGTCTCTGAAAGGGGGATCATTAAAGGGAATTGTTGCCCTGGCCGAATGGGGAGGTCTTCTGTTCGAACTCAACGTTATTTCTGACTATTTGAATTGAAAAAGTTTCCTGGATGGGAAGCGAAACGTCTTCAAACTTGGAAACAAAGTCCAGTGGATTGTTTTTTTTTACTTTTTGTAATGACTATGACCTGGATGACTGAGAATCTTCACCAGCATCTTCAGTTGTACCTCAGAGAAATGTTTTAAACACTTTGTTGAATGTATTTCATGAATAATTAGGTAGTTCTGTACACACCAATAGAGGTCACAGAAGACCTTTATTCGACTCCTGTACAAAAGTAAAATATATTTTGATAACATTTTATTAGGATAATACCTGAAAGAGTTCCATGTCCTCCCCATTTGGTCGCTGAAAGATGCACTGATAATTCCCGCCATCCAGCTCTGTTAGCTGAAGTATCCTCAGGGTCCCATTGCGAAAAACTTTAATTGGTCTCTCTGGACTGAGGGAAGAAAAAAAAGGAATCACAACAATGCACGTCTTTGGCTTTTTACAGGGTTTCATTAGCCTAAAAATTTAGAACTAAGTCAAAGGATATTTCAGTTGCCTGTACTGATGCTCCAGGATGGTCTTAGAGGGTAGCTGCCAGAGAGTCCCTCTAGAGGATCCAGTGGACTCTGGACAGTGCAGGAAGACAGCAGAGCCATACAAAGCTGACACCACATGTTTACGTGTTGGAAAACCAGCAGCCTGAGACGGCGGGATGGGAAGAGGAGCAGGATGTTTGCGAAATGAAGAGGTAGGATCTTCTCTCACTTCCAGCAGGACTGTCCGCTTGGCGATACCCATTGCATTGGTCGCCAAACACTCGTACCTGTGCAGACAGATGGCAGGTTGGTGATTTTATCAAATATCCACTCAGGGGCGGATTTACTATTAGGCCAAAATTTGAAGTTGCCTAGGGCCCCAAGTTCCTGGGGGCTCCATAGAACTCCTTGTACATGTATGGTTAATACAGATATTACTTATTTATGCACATTAATTATGTTTTTGACAAAAATACTTTCGCTAAATGCCATCAGAACGCTTAGAATGTTGTGTCTCAGAGGACCCACCTTAGTGTCCACCACACTGGATCAGTCATTTGCTGCACATGTTTAGAAAGGTCCAAACAGACATCAGCAAAACCATTTGAAAACATATGATGAGAAGAGCAGTGTTGCCCACTTAGCAATTTTGTTACTATATTTGGCGACTTTTCAGACCCCTCAAGCACTTTGATTTCTAAAAAGCGCCTAGCGCCAAATCTAGCTACTTTTTGTTTGCTACTGGAGACTTTGGCAACAACATCTAAAAGCAGCGATCTCTGCTCTCCAGAGCAAGTAGATTGGTAACCCCGCCTCCTGCTCTCCTCTATCTTGCCTGCTGTCATGATTTATACAGCTGTTATTTCATCCAAATGAAAAATGGAGAACAGATAAGCAGATCATGGCTTGTCTATACTAAAAGAAGGACTTGGTTATTTACTTTTGCTGTCATCTATTTGGAAACACAGGAAGGAGCAATCAGCTAAGCGAGCTTAGTTCTTTCATTCTTTCATTCGTTTTGAGACAGCATGAAAAGTCAGCGGAGTACAAAACAGCGAGAGGAAAACAACAAGAAAAGCAACAAGAAGAGAGGTTCAAAACCTAAAACAAATAATGTACAGTATGTCTATTCTATTAAAGTTTCCGTATCTGTATAATGGGTCTGTTTTATGTGCTGTCTTCAAATTACAAAGGGCCCCATGCCTGTCTTTGCAAAGGGCCCCAAATGTCCTAAATCCGCTGCTGTATCAACTATGATTATATTTGTTTTAAAATATGAACAGATTTACCTTCACACTTAATTGCCCTGCCCTACTGTTAAACATTTTTTCCTTTATGTCCAGCATTGTGTTATTGAAGTTTTCAGTTGATGACAGAAGGATGTTGGATATTAAAATCTGAACTCAACTCCTGAATCGAACAGCTATCAGCCTAAAGATGGTTGGCTAACATTACTAGCCACAACAAGGAAGGAAATGGTTGGTCTCAAGAGGCGGGGTTTCCTGAAATGTAGCCGATCACACTGGCCGATCCTTTCTCAGGTGGGTTCTTCCGCAGAGACACAGGTCCACAAATCATTCTTCAACATAGTTACACATGTAGAGCAAATGTTATCTTCTTCTTGCTCTGGGATTTTTACATTATCCACCGAGTTTGAGGTAGGGTTTCTTTAGACCAAAACATGTTATTTTCAATAAAACAATTGAAATACAGGTCATACCTCCCACCATCAGATGGCAGAACATTCTTTACAAACAGCGTCCCGTTTTGGAAAACGAATATTCTGTGTCCCAGAAACTGTGAGGCTTTAACATGGACACCCACTGGAAGCATCCATTTCAGAGCAGGCATGGGTTCACCCTTTGCAGAGCAGTGAATAAACACGCTCCTGTCTGGGGAAACAGACCACTGTAAGCCACAAACAAGACAAGTTCTCAACAGGGTGAAGATGCAATGTGTTGGTCGTGTCTCACCTGGCTGAACAATCACTGAGTCCTGAACACCTTCACTTATACTCGGAGGCAAAGCTGCCACGTGCAGACGATAGGTGACTGTATCGGCACCGGCCGCATTGCTTGCAATGCATTTGTAATCACCTTTGCTAGAGAAATTGGCTGAATGAATTCTTAGCGTCCCGTTTGGAAGCAGAGAAATTGGAGAAAGGTTGGTTTGAATGGCTCCGACTTCACGGACAAATGTCCTGTCTGGAAGAATCCAGGAAATCTGGGCAGGAGGTTTCCCAGAAGCCAGGCAGTCTAATGCCACAGCTTTGCCTATGTAGATTGATACTTCTGCAGACGGAGGGGGGAGGATTCGGGGGGCCTCCGTCTGGACAGTCAGGGTGATCACCATACGATCTGATCCAAGCCGGTTGTGGGCTGTGCAGAGGTACTGTCCTCGATCCTGAAGCTGGACGTTTTTAATAAAAAAAGTTCCATTTCTGAAGACTTCAAAACGGGGGCCATGTTTTGTGTTGGCTGGGATAGTGGCGCCTGGGGGACAAACAGAAAACACCACACGGAAAAACATGGTGACACCCCTCAGTGTTGTTTTGACTTTGTTCATGTCACTTTCCTCTTTGGATTCATGATAATTTTACCTGTGGAGACTTTGGTCCAAGCAATGTTAGGTTCAGGGTTCCCAGTCGCTATGCAGGGCAGGAACACGTCATCCTCTGCCAGTACTGACACACTTGCTGTACTGATTGGGGTTATACGTGGTTTCATCCCATTAACCCCAAACAGCCACGGGAAAGGAGGTGCAGCCGTGGGACTCTGAGAGTTAATTCGTCCTAAAAAGAAGTTCAACATAGTAAACAATACATGAATCAAAGTATGCTTAAGCCAGACGTACACTGTGTGATTGTTATCTTTTCAGGCCGACTTTCCAGTCACGCGAGAATTTTTCGATCGGTCCGACTTTCAGCCTGATCATGCATCGTGTAGTGTACAGGGGATAACGAGGGGCGATCAGCCTCTCACAACCAACTCAAGATCAGGAGTCATGAGGTAGGGAGAAAATCAAACATGTTTGATTTTCAGTCGACCATCGTGGGCAAATCCCTCAGTACAGAAACAAGAACTCTTCTTCTTCTCAGATGAAAACAGAAGCATGGTGGGGGTGCGGGCGAAATGGAGTTCTTTCTGTAAAATGGACAGTAGCCCCATTTGCTCAGCCATTTGTTTGTACAAATACATCTCTGCCTTTTCTTCTTAAGGCTTTCAGCACTCAAAATTGCACAAATATTCAAGTCAGCGTCTTTCACTCTAGTGAGCCTCATATTCCTCTTCTACGTGTTTGGCTTCCAGCTAGACGAGTCAGAATAGCGCCATCAACTGCGGAGCTGAGTCCGATGTGGTTTTCAGTAGTGTTGCACCGATACTGATACCAGTATCAGGCAGGGCCTCGATCCAGCACTAAAATAGTGGTAATAATATCGGCGAGTACCAACAGATAGGGCACCGGTACCATTTTGAGAGCCAAAAGTTTATTCAATTATTGTCACCCATTCCAGGTAGGCAATAAAAAGTTCTACTGGATTCACTTTGTATTAGTCTTTTTCCTGCTTCACAAAGGTAGGCAGCAGCTTGACAAAGCCACAATGGCTATTATTTTACATCCAAGTAGTATGCAGTTCTTCATATACACAGACACACATACATTTCAAACAGATGGTGTCGGTATGGTATCGGTATCAGCTAATGCACAGCCAGGTATCAGGTATCAGTAGCGGGGCAAAAAAATGGCATCTGCAACAATAGTTTTCAGATGTACAGTGTGAGCAAGTAGATCGCATCAGAGCGTCAGGCCGCACAATGTGAGAACATGCATCATGACCTGTGAATTCACACTGTACAGTGTGAGATGTAGCTGCGCGTAACGATTGAAAAAAATCGCACAATGTATTCCCGGCTTTAGAAATCTGTGTTTGATAAAACACATTTTGTGTTGAATATTCTTAAGTAATACTTCCCTGCACAGGCCAAAAGTCCACCTACCTCCATACAGAGCAGGTGTTAGGTGTGAGGGAGGGGTTGACGGGTAAACATGGAATGATGATGATGAAGGTTTAGCTGGCTTTAGGAGCTGTGTTGAGTAAATGAATGAAGCAGTTGGTGCTGGTGGTTTGAGAGAGAGCGTTCTACTCTTGGAGAGAGACTCTGTTTTGGGTGCGATTGGAGGATTGTAGGCAGACCGAGGTTTGGGCGTGGCTATCCTTCCAAGCTGAGCAATCCGATCAAGCTGCGCCTGAAAACATCAAATTCAGAGTTATGCTTTCTGTACTGTCACTAAATATACAATATAGAGAAAAATATTTGTAATAATCATTAGAAATTAGTTACCATTTCCTGATTAGATTATATTTGTATTAGCTCTCTCAAAAGCCGTGTTCCAAATATTTTTCAGGTCGAACAACATCACAGATTTGAACAGTCAGTTTGCCTTTTTGTTTTTTATTTATAGCAACACTGTATCTTTTGACCCACATATTAGCTTAATTTGAGATATAGTAAAGGATTTTTTTAGCTCAATATTCACTAATGTATATTAATGCTACATCCAGGCTGCTCTTCTCAAAACCTCACCTATGTTTCTTGAAAGGGTCGTATCTGTCACTGACTATGACACTAAAGCTAAGCTAACAGTTATTGTTAGACAAAAAAAACATACAATTGTAATTATAAAGTAATTTAACTTCTTCTCTGGTCAGTTTGCAAAACACAGAGGGAGCCTGATTCATTTAGCAACACTCCAACACTGTCGGTTCTTTCATGGGGACTACAACTGTAAGTTAGAGGTCTAGTGCCCCTAGTGGCTAAAAGTTACTCAGTGTTTCTTAAATTAAAATTTAAACAGTTTTGTATCTTGCTCATCAATGGAATGAGGTAAACAAAGTAGTCATCAGATTACATAACTAATTAGAAAATTTCTGCAGATGATAACAATGGTTCCACATACATGTTTTATGTTAAAAATGAAATATTAGGTGGTTATTTCTCACCTACAATAACAGAACATCCATCACACTTTCTTTCAAAAATTTTGGTGCAATATTAATAATTCAGTTTGTGTTCCTATTCCGTATTGAATTAAAGGTAAAAAAAAAAAAAAAGGTTTAGCTAATGAAATACAAACACTTTGCGTTTTCTGCTTAAATTTCCTACTTAAAAGCAACTACCAACTAGTTGCTTAAAGATTTAAAAACTGACCTATAATAGATGGGCCCAGTTTCATTACAATCAGGGGCTAACACTTTTCTTGGTGTCTCCTTTTGTCTCCTTAAAAACGAACCCGTCAGCCTCGGCAGATGGCCGCTCACACTGAGCCTGGGTCTGTTGGAGGTTTCTTCCTGTTAAAAGGGAGTTTTTCCTCTCCACTGTCGCTACAAGCATGCTTGGTGGGAGGGACTGCCTTTGAGTCAATGATTTTCCTTAGATAGAAAACTTTGAATCAATCTGACTGCAAGATCTGGTTGAATTGTCCGCAAAGTGCCCTGAGATGATAAGTGTTGTGTATTGGCACTATAGAAATAAACTGAATTGTATTCAATGGGTATATCTATAAAACATATGTCATTAGGTAATATGATTTCCTTTACAGATGGTTCCAGAAACTAAATGTTATATTTTGAAATTCTAAAATTAAGAAACAAGGGTAACTCAGGATTAATTTAGGAAAATACATTATTTAAAATACTATAAAGAAACTAGAAAATTATTTCTTTCTTCAAACTAATTCAGAATCTCAAATTTGGCCCTGTGTGTGAACCCCAAAAAAGGTAAAGGCTATATACCATTGCTAGGGGCTTACAAAGTTAACTTCATTATGTGAATAACGACCACAATTGCAAATGCCGGAATTATACAGCAGTGAGACACAGTTTGGCTGTAAATCTGAATCCAACCAAAGCAGTCCAGGTACAAAGCCCTCCTTTTACCTGTCTGTATCGGTTCCTGAGCTTCGACATGAAGAGATGATCTCTTGTTTGGGTTCTGCTGTCAACATGGTGGTCTTGATGATGATAAACACTAGTTGGTAGAAGCTTGGAAATGTGGGTTCCAGAGAAAGTGGGGGTTGGTTTGACAGTATCAGCTATAATCTCTGGTGGGTTGGTGACAAATGAGCCGTGACCCCATGGGTGAAGGTAAGGCCAGGGTCGATGGGTGGGTTTAAGCCCTGTAAAGAGACCATAGGTTGTAACTTTCAGTGACCCATCTTCTCTCATAACTCTAAGCTGATAAGTTTGAGTAAGTGGAAGTATAATTTGTATGTACCTTGCCTCGGGTGAGGAAATTGTCTCTGACCTGGCCAAGATGGATACATGGGGTAGTACTGAGGAGGATGGTGCGCCGACCAGCGGGAGGTTGGAGGGACTTTAGGAGGCTGGGAATGTCTGCTTGGATTTACTTGACTGTATCTACCTGCATTTCTGTCCTGATCCACATGTCCAATCCTGGAAGTGCTGGTTTGTCCTCTCTCTTGATTTTTCTGGTGAAGCCAGGGGTGAAGTGGTTCCATAACTCTAAGCTGGTGATTTTCAGGCTTTTTGGTTGGTTTTGCTGTCTGCGGATGTGCAAATAGGGTTTGATCAGGGGAAGATGAAGTGTTAACTCTTTGCCTGTTTTGGGATACTAAGTAAAATCTATCTTGTGAATTATATCTCTGAGTAACAAACTCTATTTTTGAATTTTCTTTTTGTCCCTCACTTCCCCTCATATTATTTTCTTGCACCCCTGCTGGATTGATATTGTTATTCTCCCTTACTGTGGGAAGGCTTTTGTCTATATTAATGTTAATGACATTTTGTTTAGTGTTTTCTGTTACCCTTACCACCTCTGCCTGGCTTTTGTCAAGGTTTACAAGATCTTTAGCAGTCCAAAACGTTGGAGACTCCAACTCTGGAGTTGGAAGGGTCTTTGGAATAGGTAATTGTTGCTGACTTAAATGAGGACTTCTTTCTCTGTCTAATGGAGAGAGGGTAGCACTGCTATGGAGACGGGTGTTAGGAGAGTTTTTCAGGATTCCATCTTCTGTAGCATCCAAGCTTTCACTGCTCTTATAATCATATTCCTCATCATACTTTTCATTGTCTTCATCTGTCTCATACTCAGTATATAGGGGTTCATTATACTCTTCTGTAATTGGGACAGAGGTGGTTGTTGTTGTAGTGGTGGGAGTAGTTGTCACTGTGGTTGTAGGGGTGGGGGTAGTAGTTGCTGGAGTTGTAGTGATGGTTGTGGTTGTTGGTGGTGTTGTGATTGCCTTCGGAGGAACAGTTCTTTGGGGCTTGTCAAGTGTTTGGTAGAAGGGTTTCTTGTGTGGATGGAGTCTTCTCATTGGTGGTTTTCTACGTCTTTGAAAGGGTATTCTCCTGTTAGACCCATCAGGAGCAACATTTCGTCTTCCCTCGTCAGTTTGTTTTCTTTCTGGTTGTCTGAAGAGGGGATTAGATGGAGTTGTAATACCCTCTACTGCTTCTGGAGTCTGCTGAACGTGCTTTAAGGGTGGTTCTGCACTAGCGTTTTGCTGATTTTGCTGTACTTCAGAATCTTTGTATTGACCCTTCATTTTCTCATTTCTTAAATGGGATTCGGTTTTAACATTTTGTTGAAAATTAATTTTTTTACGCTGATCAATAGAAGGGTTAGTAGAGTAGAATAAAGTCTCCTCAGTTGGACGTATAGTTAAGGATTTGACTGTGCTCGCTTGGACAGTTTCTGGACTGTGTTCTTGTAATGACTGCTCGGTAGGCGGAGGAACATTTGGTTTAGCTTTGGTTTTTGCCAATATTTCTGCCCAGCGATTTGGATCCAATTCCTTCACAGATTTATAGGGTTTTTTCAAACGTGTCCTCTTAATCGACCCATTGGGCTTCTTGTACTGTCGTCCTACTTTCTCTGGGACCTGTGTAGCAAAAGGACGTATAATTTCTTGATAGCCACCTCCAGAACCTTCCCCGTCATCCACAGTGAGAGGCAAGACAAGTTGCTCTCCTTGTGTCTGCACTCTGTTTTTTTCTGTTCTTTTCCCTATAACTTCCACCATATGAGAGAGCATGTCAACTCCGTACAGATTGGAGGCCAAGCAGCTATATTCCCCTGCATCCTCATGTGTCATCTTCCTAACCACCAAGGTCCCATTTTCCATCACTTCAGCTCTTCTTGTCTGTTGTGTGGGCAGGAGAACTTTGTTTTTGGGAAGGTACCACAAAGTTTGACTGGGCTGAGCTGAGCTCACCTCACAAGGAAGAGACAAAGAGCCCCCTGTCTCAATCACCATTTTCTGACCATTAAAGGCTGTCGGACCAAGTGAGCGCTCTTTGACTGTGAGTCTAAGTGGCATCAAGTCTACACCAGCTTTGCTTCGGACCATACAGTGGTAGAGACCCGAGTCAGAGAGTGTGGCATTTAAAATGACAAGTTTGCCTCTTTCAGATGTTTCTAACTTATCTGTTTCCTCCTCTACTGTGGATAAATCAGGAAGCATCCACTCTACTTTTGCCTCTGAGCCAGAAGTAACAACACCACACTCTAGATTAATCTTTGATCCTTCAAGAGCAGATTGGACCCTCCCAGTTGTTCCTCTACGTATCAATGCCCATGAAGACATAACGTCACTGTCATCCCCTTGCCTACCATGGCTGTTGATGTTTTTTGTGATTAAAGTGGTGAAATCCATGACAAGTTTCTTTGTTGTTGTCTGCTGCCGATTCAGCTTCAGTGTGACTCTTGGTTGAAGCAGCCATGATGGTTCGCCTTCTAAATACCCCTTTAATTCTGTGAAATATGTTGAGTTTTCATTGACAGCCTGAGAATATTGATACGTAACCTTGCTTGTATTAAACCTCTGCTGACCTCTCTCTAAAATTGCTGGAGTTTCATAGTAATAGGCAACCAGTTGCCATAGATTTTGCAATGTTTCTCGATCAATCTCGCACTCCAGGACTGTCACCAGTGACACGTTAACAGATAACTCCGTGGGTGACTGTGAATTTAAAGCCCATGTAATGGCCGAGCTATCGCCTGGACGGCGTACGTCACATGTCACAAAGGCACGGTTCCCATGGCTGTCTGAGAGAACGATGGTCAGCTGGCCCAAAGGTTTTTCTAAGTCCCGAGTGTATGGGAGGTCCGGATCGGCTTCAGACTCCGCCCAACGAGGATTGTCCCATTCTTTGAGGGGGGAACTGAGTACTGGTCGTTCACAGAGCAGCTTCTCCGCAGAAAGCTCCAGCAGCTTAGTCCCATTCAGGAGTTGAGGAAAAGAGCACTGAGGGCACGTCTCAGCAGAGCCTCGCTCCTTCTTACATTTTACTACTCCTAGAAAAATGAGGGGAAGATGGAAAAAAGTTAAAGGATATTAGCTTTTTTTAAGGAAATTGGTCAAGGTCACAATAAAAATGGATGAATGACGAAGAAAAACAAAGAACACATCTACAGAGTTGGACAGTATGCAAGGACTAAAGACTTAAAGGTTAGAAAGATGAACAAAAGGAGGAGAAACATTTTCTGAAAAAAAACCTAATGATACCTAATGATCAGCTGGAGCTGCTGATCCAAACAGAAAGTAGATGGACCCAATTAACCATGTTTAGAAATGAACGACAAAGATGTTATGAAATCACAGAAGATGAAATAAAATCTTTTGGATTTTTCTTATAAACTGGGCCTGAAATAAACATGAAACCAGTGCTCTAAGGAACCTATTCTCTCTAAAGGCTCTTTAAATTGGAAATAGGGGAGAAAAAACAATATATTGTTTCAGGTTGAACTTTAAAACCAAAACAAAGATGCCGTTTGCTCTCTTTGGAAACTAGACAACCAATAGCTTAAATTTAGCTCTGAGGGGATAATTATCATGACCACAGTGGATCTGTAGCCCACCTCCCCATCTCTTACTGTCCACTGTCGTCATGCAGGGCAGACTGCATGCATGCTGCAGCAGAAAGAGACAACCTTTCCACTTTGAGCCCTGCTTGCAAATTAAATACTAATCTGCAAAGTTACTGCTAATCCAGCCTTAGATTGCAAAGTAGGATGAAGAAAATATTATTTTAACTGGTTTGTAGTGTGGAACTAAGGGGGGACAGAATAAAGAAAATCACCAACCAGTAAAGTTTCGGAGACATTTTTAGTTATAATCTATTACTTTAAACTAAATTT